TTTTTTTTTTTAAAGCATATTAGATAAGAAATATTGCCATATATAACCATCTTTAGTAATGTCAATTCCCAAAATGTCAAGTTTTTGTTTAAAGAACATATGTAACCATAAAATCACATGAACTAACTTATTTGCCTTTAATGAAAATAACAATGATAAAAATAGTCGAAACATGCTAGATTATCAAGCGTAGCATGGTCTAGCATATTTTCATTAAACTATTACACCATACAGTTAAATGCTAGACTCAATCTAGACTATCGAGTCTAGCATAGTCTGTCATTACATATGAATATTATATCATTTGTTGTTTTATTAAAGATAAAATTGGTAAGTCAATAAATCCTTTACATTAAAAAAAAAAAATTGTAATTATTGAGTTAATTATGTAAGAGGATAACCATCATTGGGTAGCCGAGTAGTTAAATATGACTCTTGGGTGTATTACTTAAGAGATCCTGAGTTTAATTCACATTGACACCTAATAGGGGTAACCACTAGAGCTTTTATTCGGTCCCGGGGATTGGTTGAGGATTCATCTCGATACCTAATACGGGTGACCACTAGAGCTTTTATCCTATCAGTAGTTTCAGGTAGGGGTGTTCCAAAGAACCTGTTGGAACCGGAACCGGAACCGGCGGGTACCCTGGGTTTGGTTCCGGTTCCTACTCAGAATCAATCGTCAATGGGTAGGTTCCGGTTCCAAATTTTTGGAACCTTTACTGTGCGGTTCCGGTTCCTATAGTTAGGAACCGGAACTGGAACAGAAATGGGAACCGAAACCGAAACCAGGAACCAGGAACCGAAACCAGAACCGGAACCAGGAACCGAGACGAATATAAAATAAAATTAAAGATTAGGAGGGTTAATAAAAACTTTTGCAGAAAAAGTAATGTGAATACATTTATATTTATATTTCATAACATTTAAAGTAAGTTTGTTTGATTTTTGAGAATCTACCTTTACAAAGTAATAAAGTTGTAATTTTGAATTTATAATTTGTAATTTTATTTTTGTTAACAAGTGCCAGGTTGGGGGGTATTTGTAAGTTTTTAAGAGTTTTTTTGTCATTTTAAAAACTTTTAGGAGGTAATAAATTTTACAGGATACCCAGAACTAGAACCGGAACTGTTGGTACAGATTCAAGTTCTGGGTACCTAGGAACCAGAACCGTCGGTTCTGATTCTAGTTCCTTAAAAAAGTGTAAGGTATTCGAAATCAAACACCTCTAGTTTTAGGATCTTAAAGATTAATTGATTTATACGTAAATTAGTTCGGACACCCTTGGTTTAAAAAACAAAAAAAAGAAGTTATATATATGTCTAAACCCTTAAAATTTTACCTTAAATTGTTTCTTGAATAAGCGGTGAGATTTCACCCTCGCCCTTACTAAAAACAAAACTGTACCAAACCGACAAAAAAAAAAAAGAATCTTATGAAATGTTACTGTAACCTATACTCCAATAAGCCGTACGAAACAGGCTCTTTATTAGAATTTAGTAGAGCTTTACCGACACCCTGAATGAACCCAAAACTCGGTTGAGTTGTGGTTATAAGATGTTAGGCTAATCTAGGCTTAGCCGCCCCTTGACCAATCCTCAATTAAAATTCATTTCATAATGTGTTGTTTCCTCTATAAAGAGAGAGGGACCGGACAGCCGGCTCGACAGTTGAAAATAAAAGCTTTACGGTGGCCAAACCCAATACGTGGCACAACCAGTTGAACTCCATATGCCATCCACAAATTGGGTGGCATTAGTTAAATCAAAAGTCACATTCTCTTCTCTCCTCATGGGGACCATGCCCATTTATTTTACTCTTTCTTCTCATTTATAGTGTTGATTGTTATTCTGATGGGCGTGTGTGTTTCTTACATGTGGGAAGGCTAGGGTTGAAAAGTTAAAAGAAAATTTAAGGAAAGATTAGTTAAAGATTACGTAAGTTAGCTTGAAACGTCGTCGGTCGTATGAAAAAAAGAAGTTTAAATATATACCTATAATATTTAGTCTTATATGATAAANTTTCGTGAGATTTCACCCTCGCCCTTACTAAAAACAAGACTGTACCAAACCGACAAAAAAAAGAATCTTATGAAATTTTACTGTAACGTATACTCAAAAAAGCCGTACGAAACAGGCTCTTTATTAGAATTTAGTAGAGCTTTACCGACACCCTGAATGAACCCAAAATTCGGTTGTGTTGTGGTTATAAGATGTTAGGCTAATCTTGGCTTAGCCGCCCCTTGACCAATCCTCAATTAAAATTCATTTCATAATGTGTTGTTTCCTCTATAAAGAGGGAGGGACCGGACATGACAGCCGGCTAGACAGTTGAAAATAAAAGCTTTACAGTGGCCAAACCCAATACGTGGCACAACCAGTTTAACTCCATATGCCATCCTCAAATTGGGTGGCCTTTGTTAAATCAAAAGTCACATTCTCTTCTCTCCTCATGGGGACCATACCCATTTATTTTACTCTTTCTTCTCATTTATAGTGTTGATTGTTATTCTGATGGGCGTGTGTGTTTCTTACATGTGGGAAGGCTAGGGTTGAAAAGTTAAAAGAAAATTTAAGGAAAGATTAGTTAAAGATTACGTAAGTTAGCTTGAAACGTCGTCGGTCGTATGAAAAAAAGAAGTTTAAATATATACCTATAATATTTAGTCTTATATGATAAAACGCTTAATCTTAACAATTAGAATTTTAATTAGATGGACCAACAATTTATTACATAGTGATAGGGTCATAGTCAAGTGGGTCAACACTCTTTTACGTGTAGTAGGTTTAGAGGGCAAGTCACAATAATCGAATTGTGGGGCAAATTTGATAGTTCAATGAAAAAGGGTTATACAATTATTAAAAGCTATAGTTTTTAGTCTATTGATAAACATTTAATCTTAATAATAGATATCTCGTCTTGTGACGGAACTAAGAGATCAAATACGAGTGTAGACTTTGGCCGATAGTAGAGAAATAAGGTTACGACCGATATTAAGACCATTCATACGATTAAGATAACGCTATTGCGTTATCGTGTGGCTTTAAAAAACATGTTAATTTATAAGGCTGCACTTGTTTCCTTTTTTAAAAAAATACTCTATTCCTGTCTTTAAAAAAATGCATGTTTGTTTCCTTGTTCTCAAAATCATATCCTATAATATTCAACTATTGAAACCCCCATATGTTTGTTAATTTAACCAAACAATCCCAATAAAAAAGTTTTATAAATTGACAAAAACACCCCACTCACCCACATTTGTCTGATTCCGACAACCAAAGTCGGAAGGTAGCTGAAATCTGGTATAATTGCGCACTATCGGCAAGATATGATGTAATGGCGCACTACCGGCTAGAACTGGCCGGTAGTGCTCCGATTTGGCATCCGGCCAGATCCATCATGGATCTGATCGAAAAAAGCCAAATCCACGGCCATATTTTGTGCCACATATGGCCATCGTTGACCTTCAACGACGACCATATCTTTGGCTATCGTTAACGGCTAGATCTAGCGGTCAAATTTGGCCATAAATCTAGCCTTTTCCGACCAAATCCACCACGGATCTGGCAGGATAAGGCCATAGATGCGCACGAACGGCCAGATCTGGTTGGTTGTGCGCAATAACCCCAGATTTCGGCCAGATTTCGACTGTGGTAGCTGAAATCTAGCAACTGTGGGTAGGTGGGGGTGTTTTTATCAATTTATAAACTTTTTATTATTGGGGGTATTTAGCTAAATTAACAAACTTATGAGTTTTTTTGGTTAATTTTCAAATCCTACCTCGTAATAATAACCCAACTCAACTTAACAATAATATTTCAAAAACACTACTCAAAATAATAAAACAAACACACTCTAAAAATATTTTTGACAGATGTCAATATACATGTTGGGAATATAATTTCTTTAGTAATTTATATAGAATTGTATAATTTTAATAAATCCTAAATATATAAAATGAAAATAATAATATAAACTCATGTGATACCTTATACTATTAATAATAATACTATCTTTACAAAAAAATCTTACAAAGATTTTTAATACAAAGTGAGGTGGTAAAAATTGAATAAAAAAGTAAAATAAAAAGTAAAATTCATTATATTCACTCTTCTATTCATTTTTGGTCACATTACTTTGTATGGAGAGTTTTATAAGATTTCTTCGTAGGTGTAGTATTATTTTAATATTAATATCACCAAAAAAAAAAAAAAAGGAAAAATTAAATTTGAATTTTCAAAATTGTCGTCTTGGTGAATTTACAAATATGACCCTAAGAAAATGAGAGAAAAATTCAAGTTTGGTGGTCGAAAGGGACAAAGAAAACATCCCCATGAAAAAGGAAGAAAGAGAAAGGGACACCTCTGAAAAAGAATGGTCGGCCCACTGTTTGAGCCCATTAACTTATTCCTCTCTAATTATAGAATACAATTGTAATTTTTATTTATTTCTGATTTTTTAATGACATTTACAATATTATTTTAACCACTGGTTTTTTTTTTTTTTTTTAAACCCTGATTTCAAAAATATTTTAAGATCTTAAAGCTAAGAGATATTATAATTTTGACCACTCTTTTTTTAAGAAATTTAAGGAGAAAAAGTGACATTTTATTTTTATTACTCAACAAACATTTTTTATCACTCAAACGGCAATTTTTTTAAAAAGTTTGTTTATAATTATATATTTTTTATTTATTCTTGACCGTTTATTGTTTTTTACCACTATTATTGAGTTAAGAAAACAAAACTTGATTTCAATTGTATTTTAATTCTTAAAACTAAAGGACATTAATATAATTTTTTTTCTTTTTATAATTAAAAGTGTCAAAAAAGCACCCATTTATTTATAAAGAAGTGTTTTTTTTTTTTTTTTTTTAGTAATGAAATTTATGTAATTTTTATTTAGGTTTAAAGTGAAAGTGTCAAATGAATGATAATACTTCTAAAATTTGTATAATTTCAAAAACATTTTCTGAAACCAATAAACATAATTTCCATGTTGATTGCTCCTAAATTCAAAGATTATTTGAAGGCTTTGCAATACAATTATTTCTCCTAATTAAAAACATATATGGATAAAACATACTTACAGAAACACACAGCAAAAAATATTATTTGAGGCACCTGCAGTAAGAGTTTGTCTCACTCTCATTTTTGGAGCTCTTATGTGAGTCCTCAAAAATTCTTTACAGGATGAAATTAGATTAAGCAATATTGAGTTCACTGAGTCGATTCCAGTGGTTCGGATGCTCGCCTCGTGTATTAAGTGAATGAGAGTATCGTCCTTAAAACGTTGAGAATTTTAATTGAATAAATTCAACCATGCAGTCTTGGAAAATTCTGGCAGATCACTAACTGGATGACTGGTTACACAAGATAGAGCAGAACTGTAGTCTTCTTTCTCAAGAAAGATGCAAAACCTTTCTTTGATGAGAGGAGGTGGAGGTACTCGCTTCACCCGGGCCAAGTGCTTCCAAGTTGTTTCCAGTAGCTCTACCTGCATCAGTCATAGCAGTATGAGTGATTTCAAAGTTTCTATGGAGGACGGAAATAAAAAAGAAAAGAAAACTCGCAACCCAGAATAAAGAAATTTTCTGAAAGGTATTACGATTACTGAAATCAGCAACACCAGATGCCATCAAGACAATGATATCACCAATTTGGAGACATTCGTTTCAATGGCTCCAAATGAGTGAGTCAAAATGTGTCTTTTAAGTATGGCATAACGGTATGTGAAATCCATTGCAACACGTTTAAACAAGCAGCAACCAATCTAATTGCTCGAATGAAATTTATTTTAAGAAAAAAAATTGAGAAGATACCCTTCCGGCTCTTGAAGCATCCAATATCATTCGGACATGACGTTTTGCATTGAAATGGAATCCATGGTGCAGCATCTTTTTATAGACATGCTCAAGGTCATCCCATCTCTTCTCTTTAATGCATGCATCTAACATGGTGTTGAATGTATAGATGTCCGGCACTACTAGACCCCTGTTATCAGGTCCCCGGCTAAGACGATTGCTATCTTCAGACATCTTCTGGAACAGCTTCTTTGCTTCCTCAAACATACCATGCTCCACATAAGCTTTAAGCATTATGTTGCAAGTAACAAGATTTGGAGAGCAAAAGTCCTTCATTTGGTTGAAGATTTCTGTAGCATTTTCGATGTGCCCAGAGTCCAGACAAGCTTGAATTAATCCAGTGTAGGTTACAACTAGAGGCTTGTTTGCAACCTTACATATCTTCTCTATCTGTGAAAAAGGAGTGAAACACACACTATGTGATCTAAAAGTTGAGATGAGTCATATAAATAAGATCATAAAAATGTATTACATATCCATTGTAAGGTCAACAGTTCAGCTCACCCTTGTGATCTTCGTTACTTGTAAAATAATGTACCACAAAGATATATTCTTACCCATAGTAGAAAGATTGAAACCGTAACCATCCATTGAGCTTCGTTCAGAACATTAAAAATAGTTATCAGAGGTAGTATTTATTTATTAGACGTAGTGAAACATTTATGAAATCGTACACTTGGTATAAAGAATGCCATAGCTAAGAAGGATTGTACAAGATACATGAATAAAATTCATGACGAAAATTAGGCTAATGTTCATAATGAAGCTCAATTGTAGTACTGAAGGTCAAAGAAACATTCTCGGTTGGTTCACCAATAGTTGCTACATAAGCCATGAATACCACAAACAGACTTTTGGTTTTTGGAGGTTGATGTCTTCTAGGACTTGAGTAGGGACTAATGACAAATAAGGAGAGATATGGCTCTTGAACAAACATCAAGATTTCAATGAATGTGTGCCTCCAATACAACTTCAATCCATATCGAGTGACAACCATGTAACAAAGTAAATTTTGTTTATTGGCAGCAGTCTAAAAAAAAACAAATTAAAAAAAAACCACTTCAGTCAAATTATGAGGAGATTTTTGCATAACTTTCTTTCTTAACTAATATTTTTAAGTATTTGGATAATAAATATCTTCAAGACACTCATTAAGTAATCCATATTGACAAACTGTTTCCTACCCTGTGCTTATTAAGGAAACTTATTGATATAGAAAGCATGACTAGCCCATGCGGATTTAGAAGGTCTAAATTCTCTGTTTCCAATGGTGATCGGATCTTTTGGCACAATATTTCATCTTGATGGGCTCCAGGTGAGGTACTGCAGCATTTTCAACATATTCTTGTAAGGAAGACTACTGAAATTCGATAATGGTTCCCAAAACTGGTTTGGAAGATCAGTACAACACTATGAAAAAGGTCCTTGTCAAACTTTGGACTCAGAAAAGAATGAACCAAAATTTCAATGGATTGTTTGTTGACCCAGGGTATCCTCAAGTCTTTTTCTATAGTAAAATCTTTAATCAGGAAGCCAAATTTTTGGCATAGTAGCAAATAAATCCATGACAAGTAAGGCATCTTATTGGAATAACTTTAATATAGAAGCTACGTTGAACTGTCAAACTTTTGAGTGAGAATACCAGGAATAGTGAAAGAATGAGCCAGATCTAAATTGATTACCAACTCGCATCTTGTGAGTTGACATCAGGAGTCTACCTTTATTATCACGTTTCTAGAGCGAGAATTCTTTCAACTTGTACACACTAATCAACAATAATATCAATGAATTCATATTGATGTTATCTAACTAAAAAACCTAAAAACTGAGACAATCAAAGGCATACATAAAAATCGTAAAACTAACAGATTAGCATATGACAAATCTACCTGCATTAGTGCTTCTTGGCACCTTCCAGCACTACAAAGACACCGAGCAAGGTCATAATAAAGAGCAGCAGAACCCACAATTCCTCGTCTTTCCATGTCTTGAACAGCCAAAACAGCCTCATCTATTTTACCTTCTCTCCAAAGAGTATTCACAAGAACTGCATATAACGGAGAGTCATTTGTAAAATGAAATTCCATGTGATAGCATGCAAAAATAGGTTAGATCACTGAAATACCTTTGTATACTAAAGCATTTGGAATAAAAGATTTCTGCACTTTCCTGAAAAAATCGTGCACCAAGTTGTACTTGCCACATGCCAACATCACCTGCTTATGCAAAAATATTTTTGGGAATAAATTTTGTCACAGTTTCCTGATATTGACACAATTGAAATAACTACTCAGGAAAGCCAAGGAATACCAAGCTAAACTATGACCAGTTCCTCGAATTATGTTCCTATCTATGAAAAAAAACTTCACAAAAAAACTCTTCAACGGGTGTAGCAGTTCACTGGAAACATATTGCATAATTCACAAATATATATATATATATATTTTTTTTTTTCTATATTATGACCCAAGTTTATATCACCAAGAGCATGCACCAAGAAACCCAATATGTAATAAACACCTGATTACCCATTTTTTTTCAACACAATGTAATAAACATGTTAAACTATTACTGAAGCATATAACTAGTTAAACGAGAAACGATAATAAAACAACACTAGTCAGAGAGATACTAGAAGATTATTACCTCCATAACCAGTCCATATGTTGAAGCAGAGGGCTTCTGACCTTTTTCTTTTAATTGCTGCAAAACCCAAAATGCCCCTTCCCAGTGTTTCCGCTTGACACAAGCATTTAAGACCTTGCAAACACAAGATATATACATCTTAGCATTACGTAAAAAATTTCCACATATAGTATGTCTAAGTATCCAAACAGAATTACTACACTCTGCATCTTCTTGAATAAGCATTTCAACTTTCAAGGCACAGAACCATCATTGGTGATGCGATCAATAGTCATTGGAAAGAACTGCAGCAATAACTGACATAAAAAATATGCAAGTGCAAGATTTCTAAAATTTGAAGAATCACCCGACAATGGAAACAGGCACCGTTCATATATGTAATATGTAAATTATATCAGCTTAGTTTAGGTCCCTCATAAAATTTCTTTCAGGGTCTAGTGAGTAATCAACCAATCCCAAACTAGCATTACAAAATTTCCTCAGATCTCTAATATGCACAATAAAGTTAAAGAGCTTTACTTTTGATGCTTCAAGTCAAGAAAACCGTAGCAAAGAAAGGACCTTTTCATCCAGCGGTATGGAAGAAGAGGCTTATCATGTCATAAACAATAATATTCAAATTATTACTTCGCAGGTTTAACAGTTATGAAATATTATGACATTCAATTTCTGTTTTCATAAAATCATGTCAGTATCCATGGAAAAACCTTCAGAAACCAAATTGATTGAGATTTCTCATTCAAAAGTAGAAAATGCTTATTACATCACTGACAATAAACATCTATTATCTTATGCTTTTCCTATCGCCCAGAAATTCTCCTATTTTTCTTATGAGTTCATCAAATAAACAGTGGATATGTCAAATGCTATAACCTCTGTAGTTATGGAACATGTGGGATATGATATCCTAAGTATGTGGCCCCGTAGGGAGTTGAATCCCTGACCTCTCTGTTAGAGCCACTCAACCTAACCCTTGGGGTTGACAACATCATATAATTGGTATTAACAAACATTGATATCATATTATCAGTTGGCAGGTTTAACAATTTCTTAAATAGCCATGATATTCATCTTATACCTTCACAAAGTTGTGCAGAACCATGCTGGCACCGACATGGAAAAAACTTATGGAAACCAAATAAATTGAGATTTGAACATGAGTAAGACCATCAATAATCATGAAGATGGGGCATAGATAAAAATGTATAGCTATTAGAGACCACTATCTTGCCAACATGGATTGCTAATGGCCGACTGATAATTACTCACCGCATTGTAGACAACAATATCAGGTTCCAGTCGTGGGTCCCATCTCTCATGTATCCCAGTTTTGAACTTTTTCTTAGGAAGAGATCGCATGCAATCAATTACATCAAAAAGTTCCCTAATATGCCCTGCTTGTCCAAGAGTGACGGCAATGCTGTGATAAGCCACCAAGTCTGGATATGAGGACATTTGTTGCTGGAAAGAAGAAAAAACTTACATGGGTTGGTAAACATTTACTTCTTTCTTCCCTAATTTTATTGAGTTTCATGAGAATGTGCATGCCACATACATAACAATTAATGGGCATTACCTGCATTGCATGAAATACATTGAGTGCCTCCACAGGTCTCCTTGCCTTTCCAAGTACATTAAGTGCCGTAGTGTAAATGAATCTAGATCACAAGGAAAAATAGTCAAAAAGTGCTTATATCAATGACCATGAATTTCTTTAAATAACTCAAGTGACACTGAGACGTCAGGCAATACACGATGAATAAAAGTAAGGATGATGGTGAAAAATCAAAGTATTGTTCTGAAGGAGAAGATTCTAATGTGAGATCCATATTCTTTCAAAATTCCGACACAACTAGCTCAGGAAGATCATATAGACCAAAAAACTTGAGTTTATAATGTGGACTAAACCTGTACTCTGTAAAATTTAGCAGAAGAAAGAATACGGGAAAAAGTAAGTACTTGAGCCTGTGGGATTTGTAGCGTTCTCGCATCTGAAGCCACTCAATTACTTGTAGAACCCGCCTCCAGTTTCCCAATTTACCCAATATCTGAATAACCCTCAGTATAGAATGATCTGAAAATCTGATCCTAGCACTCCGCATCATCTTAGAGAACATCCACTCAGGCACATCAATATCTGCACCATTTAACCTGTTAAACAATACTTTAGCTTAAATAACAACAGTAATCTATTAAATTTGTAATTGAAAAAAATCAAAACACGTAAATCACACAAAGGCAAAGAAAGATAGATCATACAACAAAAGTTGTCAACTAAGGTTTCATGTCCACTCAACATTTCAGTGAGGTATTTTATCATCATTTCTGATGTGTTTTAATGCTTTCTCTGTAGTATTTGTTGACATTCCAAAATAGTTAATGCCACATGGCTTCTATGACATTCTGATTCCTTCTAGAGTAATTTGCTTCTTAGAACATTTTACAGTATTAGAGGCAAATTCATTTAAACTCTTACTAACCAAGACCATAACTTCATGCCCATCTTTCAAGGATTGAGATAAATTTGGCACAGATTCTATTGAGAGCACTTTTATGTATCCTTCAGAGATCACTTATAAGGATAGAAGAGTAGAGATTTCTTAGACTGTAATCTTCCATCCCACTTTAGTATGACAGATAAGACAATTGCTGCAAACACAGAGGATTGCAATTATATTCCTACTAGACTGGACTATTCTACATAAAAGGAAGCTTTTATTTTTCTACTCAATCTAAAATTAAGAGATTTATAACCAGTGCATCATGCAAAAGGCTTGTACCCAGCCAGTTGACCATAAGATTAGCTCTGTGCCTCAACTTTGTGTTCTTTCTTTGAGATGCTTGGAAGGGTTGGATTCTCCCCCAAGTTAAGTAGTTGTTTTATGCACCCAGATGATTGATCAAGCATGAAGTGAAAAGCGAATACCAGCCTTTATCAAGGTGTTCAAGGCTTCAATCACAGATGTTAAAACTGATTATGAAGTGAAAGATGGTGTCTTCCATTGCAAGGACAGGTATCATTCAACTTTCCTGACTTGACACAATTCTATATTTTTTTGATCTTGTTCTGTATCTAGTAATTTCAGTTCTTATTCAACCATAAAAAATTGCTTCATAACGCAATATATTCACTGTTTAACCATTATAGGTCTCATAGTCCCAGGGTTCCCCTGTCCCTAGCAAGTGGCGATGATGACATTAAAAAGACGGCTGCAAAGAGTCCAAAACCCTCTTCCTTAACTAGATGCATACCCCGATAATACATCCGGGTAGCTTTAATTCTTGAACTAAAGCCTAAGCATATGCTTTGCAAGCTAAACATATAGAAACTTTTAGGTTCACATGATGCACAAGGCTGACATAAGTGCTCATGTATGAGTATATCATCAATGCAAAATGCATGATTGATAATAGGGTCTAACAACAAGTTAACTGTAACATTATTGTTCACAATACAAATCCACACCCACAAAAGGACACAACCACACCATAGGTCAAATTGATGAACTATCAAATATGTTGCACATCTTACCTAAGATGAAGCATAATAACTAAAGAGATATTAGCTTAGAATAGAGATAACAAAGACGACAAATTGCATAGAGTACATACTGCCTCCCTAGTTTCTGGATTCTCTCCTCCATATCCACCCGTGGAACTCTTGGCTTGTCCATAAAATCATTTCCTTCTTCCACAAACTTGAAGGCAGCTCTTTCCATCTCCCAACTTCTATCATCATCCTTTTCAGGGAAGGACTTTCTGCTAATAGTTAAATTTTCACTCTGCCGATTTTCACCATCAGTAGTCTTCTGAAGTTGGATCCGATTCCTCACAAAATTGCTTCTACTACCAACTTTGTCCCTTTCAAAGCTTTCCCCCTTTCTTCCAAACATTTCTGAGGAACTTTTACCATGAACTAGGTCTGCTGTTATATTAACAGTATTACCACTCCCATTATCATTGAGCAATGCCACAGGACCATCTCGTGCTTTCTGAAACTTTTTAACCTTATACAAATAGGAGTCTTTTAACTCTGGCTCTACACTATTGGTTTGATTACGCGACCATCTTCTCCCTTCTGTCTCCCCTCTTGATGTCCTCTTCACCTTCGCATCCGCCCAACTCTCATTGCCAATAGATTTATCCTTTGACTTCCTAATTACACTCCCCTTGCGATCAAACTTATCTCTGACCAGACCTTCACCCCGAGCTACTCCATCACCATTTCCACCCAACTCTTCACGTCCCACATCTTTTGAACTTCTCCCTTCTGTCTCCCCTCTCGATGTCCTCTTCATCTTTGCATCAGCCCAACTCTCATGGCCACTAAATTTATCCTTTGACTTTCTAATTACACTCCCCTTGCGATCAAACTTACCTCTGACCAGACCTTCACCCCGAGCTACTCCATGACCATTTCTACCCAACTCTTCCCGTCCCACATCTTTTGAAACCACTTCTTCATCCATCAATTTAACCTTTTCATCATCTTTTCCCAAAGACGTTGTCCTCAACATATACTTTCCCTTCAAAGCATCCCTCATTCTCTCTCTACTCAACTTACTAGCTTGTTGCACCCTGCGGTCACTTTTGACAGACTCCATAGCCTTCAAATACTCACTAAAAGACGGCTTAAACTCAAACTCTCTCTCAACCATCCCACCTTCAACTCCAACTCCACCTCCACCTCCACCTCCACCTCCACCTCCAACCACCCTCTTATCAGACTCTTCGTTAACCATAGCATAAATTGTTCCAAAACACCTCTTCCTCACAACAAAACCTCTAACCCTCTTCACATTCTTACTCTTCAAACCAGCACCAAAAACGGGTTTCCAAGAATTCAATACTGGAAACCCTTTACGTTTATAATCTAAAATGAAAGTCTCATTTTTTCCTAAACTAGAGATACCCATTTGGCCATTTGTCATAAGTAACAACCCCATTTCAGCTTACACAACAAAACACTGAAAGTAAGTTAATTTCAAATACAACTTATTTGCTTTCACATATCTTCAAATTACACAACCTAACCCAACAAAAATTCAAACTTTGGTCTCCAAAGAAACTTACAGGAAGTGAATTCCACAGCTTTCAATATGTGAAGTGGGTTAAAGAGGATTAGAGCAGCCACTCTTTAGAGTGTTCATTGAGCGGAATTTGTGTTGGTTTGTGAAAACAAGTTCAGTGATATCTATCCGACAGTTGATTTTTTGTTTTTTTAAAGAGGGTTTTTTATTGTTTATTATAATACTTAAAATTTAAGGCCTCAAGGGTTGGTTTTTTTTTTTTTTTTTTTTTTTTTTTTTATTTTTATTTTATTTTATCATACGACAAGAAGATTAAGAATAATTCATTTATAAAATGGTTTTCTGTTTTTTGATTTAGAAAACAAGAAAAACAAGTTCGGTAAGTATTTTAAGAATATTTATATAACACAAGAGAATTTAAATATTATTTTTTATTTCAAAATATGGTAAATAATTTTTTTCTTATAAAAATAGTTTGATTGAAATGTTTTTAAAATCAGTTTTTATAAAACTCTAAAAATTAGGGTAAAATCAAAATTGAAAAAAAAAATATTTTTAGTATTATATTGAACAAACTTTTAGATAATTCAATTAGATTTTTCAAACTGAATATTAATTTTTTAAAATTATTTATGGATCACAAGAAATTGTTCTTTTGTTTTTGTTTTACTATTTCATCATTCTCACTTTTAAATCGAAAACAAGAAAAATATAAAAAATTAATATATAACTAAAAAAGTTAAAAAAACAAAAAACAATACGTCAATTTTTTTTTTTTATTATCGTTTTCAATATATTATATTTATCATTAAAAATTATAAAACACAAAACATAGGAAAAGACTTTGGGCATGAAGATTAAAGATTTCCTTGAAATCTACTCAATTTTTCAAAGATGCACAACACAATGCAGGGGTGAGCATGGGTAAAATGTAAAACTGGAACTGGTGGGTACCCACTTGTCTGTTCTGGGTAGGAACTAGAGTCAGCCCCATTGGGGTCTGGTCCCAATTATGGAAAATTGAACCTAGAAATTATCGGGTCCAGTTTTGGTTCCTACAGTGCTGGAATCGGGTGTCGAAATCGAGGTTCGGGTATCCAAGTAGGAATCAGGACTGAATTGTAATTTTTATAAATCATTAGAGGTGTATTTGTTTTTTTTTTGGGGGGTGTATTTGTCTTTTTTAAAAATTATGGGATAATTAAAATTAACCTGAGTACCCGGAGCTGAAATTAGAACCTATGTTTCAGGTTTTGGTTCCAGGTTTCTAGGAACTGAAATCAGTCGATTCCAGTTCCAATCTTAGGAATCGGCTGGTTCTGATTCTGATTCTTTCAAAAATTACAAGGCAATCGAAACCGATTCACCCATAACGCAATGGATACCATTTCAAGACTTATCAATATTGTACTATCAAACATTAATGCTTCTATTGGTTGCTCACAAGATAATACACGAAATTGTTCATACATATGCTTAATAACTAGATCATGTCAATGCTAATGAATTAACATACTCACTAATAAAACGACTTTAGGTAACTGTACGAACTTTATTTTTACGTTAGTTACTTCCGTTTGGACTAGTGTAAACTGTAACATGCTAAAAGCGTGACAAATGTTTTTGGATCCAAAAGTTATTATTCCCAGAAGTAGAACTTAAAAGACCTAATTAAATATTAATACTCAAAATTCAAATTATAAATAAATCAATATCCCCAAAAGAGATACATGCCTTAGAAGTAACCTATAAAATTGGTGCCCCATAAATGGCATATATCTCAAAAGTGTGTAATTGACATATATAAATATGGAAAATAATACAGTTACCGAAGGATGCACATCGAATTCGTACATTTGATGACCGAGGGTGTCCGGGCTAACTTGCGTGCACCTCAACTAATCCTTAGGAACCTTGGAACTACCGGCTTGATAAAATCTCTAGTGTTCACCCCTATTAAGGGTCGTGGGGACTCAAATTTGGGAGACCATGTTAGATCATTTTCTTGTTTTTTTACCATCAAGGGGATTCAAACTTAAGATACCATATTATATCCTCCTTTTGCTCTTTTACTATCAAGGGAACTCAAACTTGAGAGATCATGTTAGACTCTCATTTGCTCTTTTATCATTAGGTCATGCAGTAGGTTGACATATATAAACATTGATTATCTGACATGTTTAAACAACGTCTTTGTGACTTATATAAATGTTGCGTAAGTGGTGTATATTAGGGGTGTTCAAAAAAATGCAAAAAACCGAACCGAACCGAAAAACCGGTTAACCAAAAAAATGGTTGGGTTACGGTTCGAAAAATTCAAAAAACCGAATATTCGGTTCGATTACCAGTTTGGGAGAAATTAGAAACGGTTAACCGAAAACCGGTTTTCTAAACCGGTTATATATATATNATTTTTCTCCTGGGAGACTTTTTAACTAGTAGATTAAAAAAACAATACAATAATAATAGATTGTTAAACTATACAAATTTTTTTTTTTTAAAATATGTATATCTAACATTATTAATTGAAATTTTGTGTTTTAATAAGGTAAAAAAATTAACCTATTCGTTTTAGATGTTTGTAAAATTACAATTTAAATCAATTAATCTTAGGGGTGTTAAAAAAAATGCAAAAACTGAACCGAACCGGAAAACCGGTTAACCGAAAAAACGGTTCGGTTACGGTTCGAAAAATTCAAAAAAACTGAATTTTCGGTTCGGTTACCGGTTTGGGAGAAATTAGAAACGGTTAACCGAAAACCGGTTTTTCATATATATATATATATATATATATAAATAAATAATAACCTAAACTAAAATAAATCCCTAATTCACTCAATCTAAAATCCCAACCAAATTTTTTTTCTTAGTTCCCAATGTATTGTCTATATTTACAATTTAATTTAGGACAAAATTAAAAAAAAAAAGTTTTATAAAAAAAAAAAGAGAAAACCGGTTAACCGCTTTTTTTAAAACGGTTAACCGGTTCGGTTTCGTTTCGAGAATTTTCCTGAACCAAAAATCCGATTCGGTTTAGAAAAATAGTTAATCGGTTCGGTTAACCGCTTTTGAACACCCCTAGTGTATATAAAGGTTGTCTCAAAAGTAGCATGAGAAAATATAATAACATGATTGATAAATAATGTCACTATAATAAAATTTAAAAAAGGTGAAGAAAATTTTTATCACAGAAAGTAAAAAATTTGTCTTAAAAAGTAATGCGGGACGACATACAAAATTGTTCCCAAAACCACGGTACCAAAGGTAATGCTTAAAAAAAAACAAATCAATCCCCAAAGTCATGTCATTAGGGACAAAATTCGAATGTTGATATTACTATATATTAAATGGTGAGACACAAATATGTCACTTGGAAAAGACAACCATACAATTTGAGTGGTTAGTTATTGAAGGGTTATAGTGTCCTTTTACAGGGACATGTCCAAAAGGTTATGTTACTTCAGTTACAACCATTGATCAAGATCAAGTTTAAATTTTGATCCAATGGTAGAAAATGAAGTGGTATGAGTGAAAGATTGTGACCCAAATGAATGGGTGCTTACAACACTATAAATAAGGTTTTTGTGTGGCCATTTAATACACTTCCATCAATTGTGTAAAGCAAATAAGGCAAGTCTAAGATTAGTTTGTTTGTATATAATCTTCTAATCCCCTCAAAGCCCGCTTACAGACAGAATATGTTTTTAGTTATGAAGGTTTCATAGTTTCACAACAATCCACGAGCAAGCTTCGATTGTACCGTTTTCCAATCAATATGGGATTCTTGTAATCTATGAGTCGACCGAGAATTTATATAGCAACGACATGTAACGACTTGAGAGTTTTATTATGAAGGTTTCTTATGAGGCAAATTAAGCATATCCAACACCATTTTATAGTTTATTAAAATAATTATGTTTTTTTATTAAGATTTTTATCCCACTATGTTTTTCCTTGATGAACTCAATTGCAATTACTTGTGAGTGGTGAATTGTGGCTAAATGTTATTTGTTAAGGAGGCCAACACTTTGCTATACAAACACAGGTTTATAACAATTCCCCCTCAACATTAGGGGGAAAATACAAATACACCCAAGGGTTTTAGAAAGTAACAAATGCGCCTAAGAAATTGATAGACGTTAGTGAAATTCATTACTTTACAAAGATTAAAATACCCTTTGTCTAATTATAATATTTATTTCAATTTTTGTTTCACCTATATAAATAGTAATATTTATTAACCGATTTAATACAACAAATTATAATCAAAATAAAAGTATCTAAATTTTCTAATATTAAAAGTGTAGACGACATGTTCCCACCCGAGGTTTACTGAAATCCAAGGTTCATACCCTTGATTTCATTTATTCCAGATACCCATTCTTAATCTAACACTGTTTCTTTTATTTTAAAAGTTGAAGGGTAAACGCGTCAAAACCCCATTTCTCTCAACTCACCACCATTGACTGCCCTCCCATCTTCTTCTGCTTTGTCTCTCCTATATTCTAACAGAAGAACTCCATTTTTCACTTTTTTTTACCCATTCTTCCTCTTCTTCTTCTCCTTTTTTCCTTCTCTTTTTCTTCTTCTCTTCTCTCTTCCAGATTCTTCCTCTTTTTCTTCTTCTCCTTTTTTCCTTCTCTTCTCTCCACCAGATTCTCCCTCCTCTTCTTCTTCTTCCTCTCCTCTCTTTCTTCTTCTCTTCTCTCCACTAGTTGCTTCCCCCCGCCATCCCCACCAAAACCCCAACACCATCTGGCCGCGTCGGTCGCCGTCATCACCCAACAATCTTCAAGGTTTACCTCAACAATTTTTTCTTTTTATTTTATAATACATAGAGCTGGGCATTTGGGACCGGGCCCAAAAGCCCAGCTCCAAAAACCGGTCCTAGGACCGGTCCTTGGGAGGACCGGTCCTAGGAGGCCTGGTCCCAAAACGGGACCAGGCCTAAGGAGGAGGGCCCGGGCCCTCCTCCAAGGCCCGGTCCTGGGCCCAAAAGTTTTTTCTCTTTTATCAATTTAATCCTTTGTAAAATTATATTAAACCCCCTAAAAATAAGTATAAATTCAAGGACTAAAATGAAATTTTACAAAATTAATTAAAAAAGACAAAGAATAACCGTGGCTGCCAACGGTTTATTTAATTTATAACCGTTGGCAGCCAACGGTAACTGC